GGGGGGGGGCCGCCATGGCGCAAAAAAAGTTTTATCACGCGAAAATATTTTCCCCTGTACCCCCTCCAGGACTTTTTCGTCTCAAGAGGGGGACCCGGGCTCCCTCGGCCAGAGATGTCCATCGCGCCGCTGCCGCTGCCGCCGTGGCGATGGCAGCGCGGGAGAGATTTTTATTTTTGCCGTCGCGGCAGCAGCGCGGCGGCAGCTTTTTAGGAAAAAATTTCAAAAATTCATGAATTCGCACAGAATCTGCATGTTTATGTATGCTATACTGTAAGACTTAGCGAATCTGATCGATTAGCGGCATCAGTTCTATTTCAAACCAGTCAAAGCGTTGAAAATCAAAACATTTTTTCGAATACCAGCGTGGCAGCGGCAAGTTTTTTTTTAAGGCGTGTCGCGGCAGCGGCAGATTTTGAGCCGCGATGGACATCTCTGCCCTCGGCCCTCCTGCGTACGCCACTGGTACGAATGAATAATAAAATCTTAAATATTTCATTGAACAATTCACAATTGAAATTACTACAAACTTCAAACAATGTAAACTTAAAACATACATGCTAAACCTTTTAAGAAGTCGGATAATATAGGTTATTGTATCTACCCTATGTTTTAGCAGTATTCGTTTCAATGATTTTTTTTTTCTCATACGAATAAATATATGATTGTGTAAACAGAATTCAACTTTGAATACTTCTTCCAAATATCTGTTAATTGTAGACATTTATTCAAATTTTTCTATAGATACACTTGTTTATTTATTTGTTTAACAGAATATTTTGAGGACGGCGATATTTTCTCTGTTGCTAAGTTGTTTTGAAAATAAATATCTGATAAATATATCGTCCATATACAGAATAAGTTCATTTGATAACATTCAATTTCATATCTTATAAAAACATTGACTTTCTGATGTTTTATATTAAGTTTATATAGAATTTAATGATACATCATTCAAATGAAATTTCAAGATGTTATGATTTATCTTTGTTTAAATATTTGTAACGATTCAATGTTATTCGGTGGACCTACTTCATTTTGAAGAGCTATTTCGTTTGTTGTTTATTTCAGTGGCTATGCTATCCGGTACACGTAATCATCGTAATAGTCAATTAGCTGAAAAAATATATGATCGTATGAAATCTTTATTTCCTGATGAAAAACAATCTCTTTTATCCGGTGCATTCCTTCTATCAAATATATATTCTTCATTTGGTGAATATGAACGAGCAATGGATATTCGATCCAAACAAAAAAATGAATTAGGTTTAAACATCAAAGTTGGAGTAACATGGACAATGGTTAATGATGAATTAGTGGTAAAATATTTTATTTTAAAATAATATTAAAAAAAAATGAAAACCAATTTTTATTTATTTAGGAATTTAAAGCTCATGATGTTTCTCACCCACGATCAGAAGAGATCTATGCTCAACTTGATCGTTTAACATTATTATTACTTAAACATGGTCATACGTTTGATGCAAGTTAGATAACTCGTAAAATTAATATAAATGAAAGTATTCAATCGGTTTTATGTGGTCATAGTGAAAAATTAGCCATTGCTTTTAATTTAATTCAACGACCTATACCATCAATCATTCAAATTACAAAAAATCTTCGTATCTGTGGTGATTATCGTAAGTTTATTTTGTACTTTTCGATAATCGCTGGATTAATTTTCTTTTCAGATCAAGTCATAAAATTAATTGCAAAAATACAACAATGTCATATTATTGTTCGTGATGCTAATCGTATCCATCATTTTTATCCAAATGGAAAATGCTCTTGTCAAGATCATTTTTAAGTTATTATAACTTTTTATGGACAATCAACGTATTAATTGTCATATTCATTTTTCATCGGTAAAAAAAAACATAAAGTTTCAAAATATTTTTGTTTTTATCTTCTATTTAATATAATTTTAGATGAATCATTTTTTATTTCTTCGTTTAAATTCATCCATAATTCGTTTATGTTATCGTTCAACATCAAAAAAATTATGGTTTAACAAATCGTGATCGAAAACGTTTTTATAAAAAACTATCTGTTGTTGAATCATCACAAATATCAACAAAATATGAAATTTTACTTGATCAACATAAATTAAAAACACCATTAGGTAATATAATAACAATTGAAAATGAATTTCTTACATTAGCAGCACTTGCACAAGAATGGAATCAACAATATAAAAAAATTGATTTATCATCAATGCATTTATATTCTTTAATAAATACATTTATTGATAATCCATTAAAATTTACAAAAAATCAACTTATAGAAAAATTAATGTATTTTCTTGATTGGGATACATTACTTTATCGGTCAGATCAACCAGAAGAATTTCGACAATTACAAATTAAATCTTGGGATTCAAAATATTATTATATATTAATAAAGAATTTCATACAAATTTTCAATCAACATATGATCTTTATATAAAAGATCTTATAAATAAAAATGATCGATATATAATTGAAAAATATTTCTTAAATTTTGATCAATCATCATTAAATATAATATTATTTATTGTTGAACAATTAAAATCTATATTATTAACTATTTGTTTATTAAAACAATATCGTTCAATAGAAAATATTGCTACATTATCACGACTTGAAACAGAATTTCAAATATCACATTGGAATAATGTTGAATATTATCATGATTATGAAATGATGGATATATGTTCAAAAATATCAGCTGCTTATTTAATTTTCTATTGTTTAAATAATAATATAACAAGAACAATTCTAACGAATGAAACAAACTAATATAAAAATATTTCTATTTGTTTTATTCAAAATTGGTTATGATAACAAACAAAAACCTTATGATCATTTTTTTTTTTTGTTATTTTAGATGAATTATTTTTTTATTATGATGCAAAATACAAAACTATTTTAAATATTAAAGATAAATAAGTTTCTATAATTTTGTTAGAAATTATGAATTAAATCAAAAGGTATATTTATTATAAATGAAATCTATATAATAATGTTATTTTCTATTTGTCATAAGAGGATATTAATCAATATATTTATACTATCAAGAATGTTAAACAAATAGAATTGAGAATATTAGACATAAGAAAGATGCTTTTCACTCTGTTCAATATGAGAACAAAACTGAAAATAAATCAATTGATCTTTTTCATACTTAATTGTGTCTTGAATAAGAAGTCTCTCAATGACGAAATTAACTTTAGGATAACAGTAAGATATTTCACTAAATTCAGCATTAGAACTACATATCTTTTCGATTGGCATCGAAAGCTAAAAACAAGATTAATCTAACACGGAAACTTCGTCAGTTGATACTTTCAGTTTGAATTTATTAGTAAGATTTATAGTTTAGATTAAAACTTTAAAAGAGCCTGTGTTCGTAAATAATAATAAGAAGTTTTAGTTCAAACGAATGAGTTCTTCCTAAGATATCAGATACCTAAAAATGGATTGCTGTATGTACAAATATATAGATGATAAAAACAATGAATCAGTACGCTTGATTAATATCATATCAATGAAGGCTTAAATGAAAATATGTTGCATTTGATCTTATTCCAACAAGACTCAACTAGATGAAATCATTTTTTGAACATTGTGACAACATCGACATATCTATCCTATCTCCTGTTTTGTGTCTGTAAAACATATGATTGATGATGTGAGAAAGTCAAATGAAGTATTATTTCATCCGAGCTATTATTTCTTTCATCAAAAATCGTTACATCTAGCAATCTTTGCTAACGAATTCTCGCAGTTTTCTGTTCGTATTCGATCATTGCAATGTTGAGTCAAAATATCTTTTTCTATTTTTAACAACCACAACTCAAACAATAAAATGTCAAACTTGTATATGAAACTACAACGGCTGACGTGACATTGTTATGTCAATTAGCTATTCTTGATTGAATAGGCAACGGTGACCTTCTTTGCATTCGCATTGCTAAATCAATCGAGGTATATAAATATATGAGTTAATTAATGCGTAAGAAGAATATCTTGAACGTGTTTATTTTCTATTGTTTTGTGATTTATCTCATTAATTTCACACTTTATATTTATTGCGTTTTTACAATACTCCTACCATTTGCACTACAAAACTACTGATCAATTCTATTATCATCAATCTCTGTCATGATCTAAATTGATGACAGGTTTAATAAACGATCTGTCAGCCAATCAACAAGGCTACAAATTATAAGCGCAGTCGTTCGTTCCCTTCTCGATCTTGTACTGACTGTCATGTCAAACTGTTACTTATTTCTTTACTTGTCAATTTTTTTTAGGGGGCGTCAATTTATTCCTTCAATATGAAATGTCTGTTCTATACAATTTTTCTGACATGTATCAATCCTACTAAGATGTTGACTGCTGTTACCGACGATTTTTTTACGAAATGTTTTTGCCTTATATTTTTGAATCTTGTCGTATACATAAAACATATGACTAATATTGTTTTGGTCTTCTCATAAATTCTTTTTTTGTGTGTATTATTTTGACAAATTCATTGCTCATGATGTAAACTGTCATGACATATTCCTATGTACTCGCTTTCAGATGCCGTCAGAGATTTCGATAGGGGCAATGTAACAACACCGATATATCCATCCTGTCTCATAATTATCTTTCCTATTATCCCTATCTTTCTCCCTCTCTCTCTCTTCTAGTTGTGTATATATAAACGTATGTTCTATGTGTAAACGATGCGATTAATGATATGAGGGAGTCAAGTAAAGTGTAATTCCATCCACACTATTATTTCTTATGTCAAAAATCATCACACACAAATATATATATATATATATATATAGAAGATAAATCTTTATTAGGATATGCTGAAATATAATGAAGGTTTCTTTTTGTTATTATATTTTCAAAATAGAACAATCAAAAAACATTCGCCTATAAATATTAGAAAATGTTTCTAACTGAATTCTTTTATAGAATACTTTATTTTTTCAGTTATTTACAATTAATGAACATTTTAATTAGATATCAAATTATTTGAATAATTCAAAAAGTAAGTTTGAAAATCTGTTAAAAAAAATAAAAATCATTAGTAGACTCAATCTATTTTTCGTTTTTATTGTTTCATATTTTAGTTATCAAACACCAAATTTCAATAATCAAATATGAATATTCTAAATTTTCTATTAACTAAAATAAAATAAAATATTAAAATTAAAATAATTATATTTTTTGTTTTTTTTTTTTTTTTTTTTTCGTTTGTTTTTACTTATTACATTTTTAAGATACATCAAAAATAAAAGCAAAAATTAATTATGTTACATGTATCATCAATGGTAGCTTATGGATTTTTATCATTTATATTGGCATTTTTTAACAAAGCACTTTTTGAACTAGCTAATTTTCGTAATACTTTATGTGTAATTTTTTCTCAACTTAGTTTTATACTTATATCATTTCATATATTGGCTTATTTTAATTGTATAATACTACCTATTATGACAAAAGATGACACATATACATTAATTATTCCATCGATTTTTTATTGTTTAAATACAGTATTATCTTTACAAGCACTTATGAAACTTAATGTAGCTGTTTATGTTGTAATTAAAGTAAGTTTTAAAAAAAATTACTAATTTAATTTTGCAAATATAATTATTGCACAAGACATTGCTAAAAGTTTGTTAGCGTAGCCCCTTTGAGACTGAAATGTGGAACTCACATATCTTCTTTAGTTTCATTATACTAATCACAAAATCTCCAATATTTAAATTCTCCAAAAGATAATAGTTCTTTTCTAATAATAATCGATTATCAGAAAACACTGTCGTTTTTATCTCTATATTTCGAACAGACATTTTTTTCTTTCTTTAGCGAAGTTGCTACGGTCTGTAATGGGGACCCAATGAAAAATATTTCTAAAAATAACGGAAGAGAACGCATTCATAAAAATGTAGAGACTTGCCTTTTACATGACGAATGTGTTCTACAGCTTAGCGAACGTTTTCACAAACAAAAAGAAAAGTTCTAAGTCTAAAGGAACTCATTCTTTACTGTTCCACACTAGTACGGAATGCTTTCTTCTCAGTTCAAAAATCATTCTCTATCTGGATAGAAAGCGTTCTAAACCGTTCCATGAGCCAATAGAAAGTGTCTCTGCCCTTTCTATTTCGAAATAGTTAAGATAGGATTCCATCGAAATGAGACCACTTTTTTAAACATTCTCTTGAAAAACACCTGAGAATGAATTCTTTTGACTGATGAACGCTTTCATCTGAATTTAACATCATTTTTGATTCAAAAATGACACCTCTGAAGTACGATACCCTGAGACTGGTGCCAAAAATGGTGGAACCTTCAATTAGTCATACTTTACAACTGGCAGTTCTGATTCCAAAAAAAAATTTTTTTTTTTAATAACAATTAGAGCACGTCATTGGATAGAGCTCGTCGAGTTGCACCAGACTTGATCTTTCAAAGAATTATGTCTGAACTTCTCTTCGAGAACTCTTATAGTGAATCTAAATTCAGGCAATAACGACTAAGAATGCGTTCCAAAAGAAGTTAGCTGTTTTTTGAGAAAAGAAAACGTTCCAATAAAGCTGGAAAAGCTAAGAACGCATTCTAAAAAACATAGAATGTGTTCTTAATGGTTCCATTTTGAAACGCTTTCTACTTTTGTTGGAACATCTTCTTTTCTTAAAAAAAGGGCTTTTAATTTTACGGGGGAGAGTCGCGAAACCTTAAACTTAAAACTGACTCTCACTATTTTCTTGGAAAATATATATGAGTTCCATAAAACGTTATTGTTTTTTTTCTATGTTATAGCGTTGTACACCAGCATTAACATTTATTTTATCTGCAATCGTATTAAAAAATCAAAATCTTACTATTAAAACAGGTTTATGTGTATTTATAATAACAATTGGTGCAGCAATAACATCTATTGGTGATGTATCCTATCATATGGAATCATATATAATCGGAAGTTTTAGTGTATTATTTCATTCACTTTATCTTCTTACAGTTCAACGTTATAGTGAACAACGAACATCAAATGATATTCTTTATATCAATAGTTTATTATCATTACCAATGATATTAATTATAATGATAATATTTACAGATGAATTATCACAAATAAAATCTTATGAAGGTTATAATACAACTAATTTTTGGTTATATTTTATATTATCAACATTTGGTGGAGGTCTACTTAATGGTGCAACTTTCTGGTGTACAATTAAAAATTCAGCATTAACAACAACGTAATTATTACAAAAAAAAAAACAAAAAATTTTTTTTAAATAAAATTATTATTTTATTTTAATAGTGTCGTTGGTGTTTTAAAAAGTATTCTTCAAGTATTTTTTGGTATGTTTGCATTTGATCGACTTCCAATAAATATTAAAACAATTATTGGTATTATATTATCACTTATTGGTGGTACTATGTTTAGTTATTTGGAATATACAAATAGACAAACAAAATTAAGATTATCTATACCCGAAAACAATCCGGAACAAACTGTATAGACAATTTTGAACGTATGAATGCATGACAGCAAATGCTAGAAAAACTTGTACATATTTAATAATTTATTATTTTTTTTTTTTGTTGATGTTCTATCGGGTTCTTTAAGGGATTTTGTTTTTTCAGATTTCAAGTGTATCCAGTTGATGCAGCTTATCTAAATCAAACCAGCATATTTTTAGTGATATCGAAAACAATTCTTTTTAATCTAAAATATTGTGATATATTCTATATATGAATTTTCTTAGGTGAAATTTTCTTTTTTTTTCGTTTTTTTTTTGCATTGGATCTGACGTAATCATATGAGTAAAAAAAATATATTTTATGTGTATTTTCTAGATGTTATTATGATGAATCGTTTTATTTTATATATCATTATTGGGTCTCTTTTAAATTGTACTTGTGCTATTCTTAGTAAATCATGTTCACGTGAATATAGTCGTATTGTTCGTGATTATTTTACACAAGTAAAATTTATATTAATAAATTTTTTCTTATGATTATTTTTTTTTGTATGAAAATTTTAGGCAATTAGTTCAATCTATGAAAAAAATCATTTATCTATTCCTGTTGAATGTATTTTTTCATCAAAACGTGATATTTTTTATGATCAAGAATTAAATAAAGCTAAAATAAAAGATAATCAATGGTTATGTCAATATTGTAATAAATTATTTTATTCTGAATTTTATCTTGATATACATATGTCTAATCGACATAATGATACATTAATTCATGTAAGAACAAAAAAAAACAAAAAAACATTGTTTTTTTTTTCTTTTTGGTATCTTATAGTTTTTAATTAATCATTAGAAATTTTTTTCTAGAATGATCAATCTGTATGTTTAGCTGATTATTGTTTAATATTTCGATGTGATGTTTTAAAACGACCAAAAAAATCTTTTCATTTATTTACACGAAATTCATATTTAACAAAAAGAAAATCAAAAAAAAATCTTAATGAACAACAACTTACTATTTTAAGAAGTCGATGTGCAGTGAGTAAAAAACAAAAAAAATTTTTTTTTTTGTTGACTATTTAACTTTAGTCTATTATTAATGAATGTGTTCCACATGATATTAAACATGATATTCGAGTTAAAATGCAACGTAAGTATTTATTCTTATATAAGAAAATATTTTTCTCATTGATTCAAAAAAAAACCAATCTAGGTGTATTAATATCAAAAGAACTATCGGTTTTATAAAGGGTATTTGTATTTTTTTTTCTTTTGCTAATATTCAACTTTACAAAATTGCATATAAGTCTTCTTTACTAACATTTACACATTAAACGAGTTATGTTCACAAATATTTCCTAGAAAAAAGAAACATATATAAAACTAGTTATGATTATTTAAAAAAAAACTCACTACCCCCCTACGCTAACACGTAGAAACTCACTTGTGCTTCTCTCACACACACATACACACCTAACTTGTCTTGACTGATATACCCATAAATGTCTGTGTTCTATTTTTTTTGACATGAATACGTGCTTGTAAACGACAAATTGAAAGAATAGCTAACCGCTAACCTTAGTAATGATGCTGATTGAGCTAATGCGAGGTTATATTAATATTTGTACTGTAAAAATCGATCCCAAAAATATTTACAACATCTAGTTTGTCATCACTAACATTCAATTTGACATATGATTGAATCGATTTCTTAGGCACTTTTATCTCTACATATGAAAAAACAAACAAAAATCTATGTATAACATATAACCAGTTTAGATTTATACTCAACAATATCGATAAAAAAAATATGGATATTTATTAATGTGAAAAAAACATAAAATTCAAATTACCTTTAGTTGTAAATTCTCTATCATAAATAGTTGAAAACGAATAAAAACACTCTAAACTCAGTCAAATTAAGCCCCCC